ATGATTTTTTTATTTAATTATAAAGTAAAATATAAAGTCAAAAAAATTTCCATTAATTTTGACTCACACTGTATATTCAGCTTTATTTTAGTTTTAATGAAATATATGTAATTAATTTTTTGTATTGAAATACATATCCAAATTATTATAGATTTTTCACTATACTTTATAGTTGAAATAATATAATTAGATTAAAGTAAAGATTTTGACTTTTTCCAGTACCATTTATGTCTATCAGATTCAAATCGATTAACTTTAGTCTTATTTGAGAAAATAACATGTCACCAGTCATTAAAATCCAATCTTCATATTGTTTTGCAAACTTCCATTACTAATTCTTATGCTTTGTACTAAAAAATGAGTTTTTTTTTGACAACAGGTTTTTAACAATTTCTTTTTAACATGTTTTGAATTGTTTATGCTGATATATTAATACTTTGATGATTTTTTAGATCCTTTTGAATTTTTACAACTGTATAAACATGTCCAGAAGTAATAAATGTATAATAGCATGTTCTTGATATTGATTTAAAGAATGGAAATGCCTAGCTTTTGGTTTTTGAATATCAGAACAAATATTCTTATGAATTCTTGATACAGTGATATAACTAATTTTAAGTCTAATAACAATTTTTCTTGTAGATAATCCATTATGAATTAGAGAAATAATATCTGTATATTTTTGTTTCAATAAAGGTTTCATTAGAAAAAAAAATGACATAAAATAGTATAAATGATTGTAGATTAATATTATTTATATAGTTTTGTAAATTTGTATTATTAAGCATTAATCAATTAAACAATAAACTATTTTATATCGATACTCATTTTTATTTAATACTGATTAGATAAAAAATTCTAAACAACAAATGGAAAAAAATCAATACATTGATACAATTTTTTGAGTCAGTGTATGTTGAAAGATACAGAGAATTGATAGGAGTGACTAAAGTTGGTTGTTTAAAAATTATTAGATACTGTATAATGTTTTCATATTACTGTATTATTAATTTACTCTAACTTTTAGAAGGTTATTAACCAAATATATCGAGATGTATTAATTGTCAACTTTTTATAGGAGATAAGTCAAATCCAGGATATTTTTATTATTTGCTATTAAAAGCATATAAAATACAGTATCATTTAACTGTGTCCTTATTTTTTTACTATTGTAGATTTCCAGAATATTTTCGTTAATTATTTTGCAAATAATATAAAATAGAATTTAATTGGATTCTTCTTTATTATTGTAGATGCCAAGTTTAATCCAGCTTATTTTGTTATTTGATTTTATAAAATCATGTAAATAAAATTAATTGTATTATTATTCTTTCCTATTGTAGATGGTAAGTTGAGCCTAGTTATTTGTTTCGTAAAACATATGAAATTATATTACAGTACTGCGTCAGATATTGGATACTGTATAAGGCATGTGACGAGAACAGGTGAAAATACTAAGCCACTGCAATTTTACTGCGCTGATTAGACACGTGTCAGCGATCCCGATTTTCTCAGCAAATATCAAAGGTCTAAGCATCCATAGAATCGAATTTGGAATAAACATTTGGGGAATTGCATATCGGAATTAATCCTTGCAAATCATTAATGTCGATTCAAAGATTCATATATACATGTATTATAACAGAATTTTCGATTACAGTAATAGCGACTCTGCCTCTAAAAATAAACGTATGTGACGTCTTACTGCGCATAAAGTATTTACTGCGGTTATTTAATTTTTATCATACTTATTCATCCCGACACAGTAGTACATAATGATTATAAGAAATACATATTAATACTGTTATAATATCGGTAAGGGCTAGATCTATCGGGCATATTATGAAAACAAGAAGTATTTTTCTTAACGTAATCCAGAAACGCAACAAGAATCTACAGAGTTTTTTTGCAAGTGTTTCCATATGTAATTTAAACAATAATGAATATGTCTTTTATTATGTTTAAACCCGTCATACAGTATTACAAATTCTCTCTAAGTATTCTCTTTCATGCAAATATACTGCTATGCAAGTTGCAAAAAAAAAAGTTGTGATAGCAATATAAATGTTTCCTACAAAGCGAAAAAATATCGGTAATATAAAAGACGACAAAATAATAAACAAAATTCTGTCCCATTTCCTTGAAATTGGCTTGTAATCAATCTTTTGTAAGAGATCTTGGTACTCTATCAGAATAGAATGGTAAAATAAGATATAGAAGATATAGAATATAGAATATGAATCTATTTGGTCTATTCGGTATAAATTAAGAAAACTTTTTATATACCATCAGGTGTAATAAGCGTTTGCACTTGCTCGATACCAAAATTACGTTGAGCATCCACATTTCTTTGTAGAACCCGGCCTACTGAATATCGAGGCAAAAAGTGAGAATAGGTTTTTTTTTTATTTACAAGCACACTATTACACAAACCTTCTGGGGGGTCGTCAGTACCAGAGTGGTATATGAGGATGTGAATAGGACTTTTTTCACCATCTTGAGGATAAGGTTTTTTTCTGAGTCTGTCCATATACAAAGTGGGAAAGTAATAAAAAATTTCTATTTGCGAATCTGTTGATTCCCCTTGAGCATTTACAAAACTTGATTCCATAAATTCTCCTTGACCTTTTTCAATGTCATTCACAGAATCGACTACATCTTTGTTACGTTGATAAAAATCAACTTTATATAGATTGAAGTTTCTTTGATGTAAGTCTTGCCGAACATTTCTAATCTCATCTTTCAGATTCTCAACAGTCCGATTGTTGTTAATATTTATGACAAAAATATCATCGACAGTACCACCACGAACAAAACAGTTTAGGTTGATGTTACTAGTTTCATTAGCAGTGAAAGTCATCTAAAACAGTGGCGTAGTAAGAAGTTCTCGCTTCTATAAATAGTAACTTTTCATAATTTTGGCGTAATACATACCTTGAAATTTTTCGGGAATGTTAGTTTGACTTCTACAAATTAGACAGGTTTTTATGGCTAAAGCTGAGGTTCAAGATCTAAACTTACGGTTCTATGAGTAGGAAGTCAGAGGATGAAAGCATAAAAATACAGAAATTTTCAGTGCTTTTAATATGACGATCAGTTGAATTGAGATTGAGAAATGCCGAGGTATAGGCCTATTAAAAAACGGATTAATGCGTTATTAATCTATGAATGCGCTAACGTTTGTAATGCTAGTAAGGTAATATATTTCCATATTCATTTCGTTTTAACATCATGATCTGCGTCTGTATGCCAGAATCTTCGAGTAAAATCCATACCAGAACTTTCTGTAAAGTGTGTGACGAATACAACACATTATTAATAGATCCTTTTAAAATAAACGACTGCTACAGTGGCGTAGTCATATCACATGCCCATATCTGCGGATGATGACGTGTCTCAGCATATTCTGCGGATACAGTAATTTTATAAAGTTTAATCTAGGATATTTTTGTCATTGTTTTGTAAATAACATGAAATGGATTTGATGTACTAAATCGTTAACTTTATAGGGCGTAAGTTGAATTTGATTATTTTCGTTTACAATGTAGCGGTGGGAAACGGCGAGTCTGTCGCTTGCATACAGGGCCCACTTTGCACTGTTTAGCTTTATGGTTTGTGTCGACACTAAAACCCTTTTCTTCTTGTCTTGTAGAGAATGAGCATACTTTCTCCCTAAGATGAGCGCACTTTTGCTGCCTTTATTATAACGAAAGTTAAGTATATTTATACATGTTTTCATTATCATAATTATCATAATTATTCTCTTTATCCTAATTATACTCTTTATTCCACTTATTCTAGTTATTTCCATCATGATACCAGAATATAATCGTGTAACAAGTCACCTCTATTTCCCTATAACAACAGTACTGTACAGTACTCCGGGAATATGGTCATATGACCAAAGTTGCGTTCTGATCGATCACCACAATTATTATCTCGTAATTTTGAAATGGAGCATGTATTTTATAATTGATATCAAGGCTTAAAGGAGTTTTTTGACGGGATTGTTAATGAACACGAGTTGAATTCTATCTATTATTACTTATATTTTGCCAAAGATTACCTTCAGTTGTGCTTTATTACTCTATCATTGAATGCATTGTTTATAGAATCTTAAACGTTAGTTTTAATTTATTGAATAAGATCATAATGGATAATGCCAACAGAAATTCGTGTAACCGTTACTAGTGATTTAAGGTAACAAATAGGTGATTTGAGGCGCACGATTTGACCAAGTTCTTTACACTTCTCACACTCGGCTCTCTTTTATTAGTAATATTGTCTTATTTATACATTTCTTAAAATAAAGTGACTATACTAAATATGGAGTGATACACTCTAGTATGTTTGTACAATGACTATAGAACAATTTCTACAATGTCATTGTTGTCGCTCTCAGTCATTATATTGACTGGTCGCGGCAGGATCGGATCTCGCACTATCCAGCGTAGATCGATCACATGATGACACAGTCGTTACGCGGCGCGTACGATCTCTTATACTTGCATTTCACTTTCTTTATGCTAGTTTTATGTCTACGACCCCATTATCGTGGTACCTACTAGATTTATACAAACATTTTATTATTGTTAACTTCTTATTTATTTATTTATTTTACCTCTTACACTACTAATTCCTGAGACACAGCTTACGTTATAATATACAGAACTGATTACAATTAATTATATTTTACTAAATATAGTATTCCGTGTCTTAGTTTTTTCATTAGAACTTTCGATTTGAAATAACTTACTTTTAACGATGAATGTTTATTTGAAATTACTTTTTATCGGGTTTTTTTTAACTACCGTACTACAATGTTATATAAAAACATTAATTTGTTTAAGTTATTTAATGATAAAGCTTTTACATTTATGACGTTTTAAACCTGTAATCTGTTCTAGTTTTGAATATTTCGAGTTTCGTTTCATGTTTACAGTATTCTTCCATTCTAGCCAAATAAGGCAAAACCTAAATTATCGTCGGTATACCGTATTTATTTCGACTGATTTCTGGTATCGTTGAAATGATTTTTTTTTTTCATTTATGGTCACTTCTCAATTTAGAATATTTCTGTGCATTGATATTTCCACCTTTGGCTGATTTCTGATACCAATAAAATGCTTTCTCTTCGTCTTTCGTAGTTCCAATTCCATTCTCAAAACAATATCCAAGTTTATACTGTCCATCGGTATTTCCACTTTCGGCCGATTTCTGATACCAATAAAATGCTTTCTCTTTGTCTTTAGTAGTTCCAATTCCATTTTCAAAACAAAATCCAAGTTTATGCTGTCCCGTGCGACTTCCACCTTTGGCTGATTTCTGATACCAATGAAATGCATTTTTTTTGTCTTTCGTAGTCACTATTCCATTTTGATAACAATACCCAAGATTATTTTGTCCAACGGTATTCCCACTTTCAGCTGATTTCTGATACCAATAAAATGCTTTCTCTTCGTTTTTCGTAGTCCCAATTCCATTTTGATAACAATGCCCAAGATTATTCTGTCCAGTGATATTCCCACCTTCAACTGATTTCTGATACCAATAAAATGCTTTCTCTTCGTCTTTCATAGTCCCAATTCCATTTTCATAATAATATCCAAGTTTATACTGTCCATTGATATCTCCACCTTCGGCTAATTTCTGACACCAATAAAATGCTTTCTCTTCGTCTTTCGTAGTCCCAATTCCATTTTGATAACAGTATCCAAGATTATTCTGTCCAATGGTATTTCCACCTTCGCCTGATTTCTGATACCAATAAAATGCCTTTTCTTCGTTTTTCGTAGTTCCAATTCCATTTTGATAACAATACCCAAGATTATTCTGTCCAGTGGTATTTCCACCTTCAGCTGATTTCTGATACCAATAAAATGCCTTCTCTTCGTCCTTCGTAATTCCAATTCCATTTTCATAACAATACCCAAGATTATTCTGTCCAGTGATATTCCCACCTTTTGCTGATTTCTGATACCAATAAAATGCTTTCTCTTCGTCTTTCGTAGTTCCAATTCTATTCTCATGACAATGTCCAAGACTATACTGTCCAAATATATCTCCACCTTTGGCTGATTTTTGGTACCAATAGAATGCTTTCTCTTTATCTTCTGCAGTTCCAATTCCACTTTGATAACATCTTCCAAGCATATACTGTCCATTAGCATCTCCACCATCGGCTAATTTCTGGTACCAATAAAATGCTTTCTCTTTATCTTCTGTAGTCCCGATTCCACCTTCATAACACCATCCAAGCAAGTTCTGCCCATTAGCATCTCCACCTTCGGCTGATTTCTGGTACCAATAAAATACTTTTTCATAGTCTTTAGTTGTCCCGGTTCCGTTATTGTAACATCTCCCGAGACCATTTTGTCCGTTAGGATTTCCGCTTTTGGCGGATTTCTGGAACCACTGAAATGCCTTTTCGTAGTCTTGAGTGACCCCGATTCCACTTTCGTAACAAGTTCCGAGCCTATATTGTCCATCGGTACTTTCATTTATTGCTGATTTTAGATACCAGTCAAATGCTTTTTCGTAGTTTTGAGTGGTTCCAATTCCTTTCTCGTAACAATATCCAAGGATACACTGATCCCAAGCATATCCATTTTCAGCATATTCAATATATAAAGGAAACTTCAAGGGATTCTAAATAAATTATTTGCGAATTGTATTATTGTCATATAAATTACTTAAATATGTTATAGAAAAAATTGCGCCTACCATTTCTATTATTTTATTTAAAAAAAAAGTATATTAGGTCAATAATGATACGGTATTTGCTGAAGAAATAAGTGATAATAAATCTAAACTTACTATTTACGTAGTCATATTCATTCCCCCACATTATTACTCGATTACGACCATTATTTTTTGCCCTATACATAGCTTCGTCAGCATGTCTAATTAAATCGTTAAAAGTTTCCACAAACGAGTTTATTCCAGAAACCCCAATGCTAAGCGTAATCGGTAATCTCTTTCCTTCATAACTAAATGAAGATTCAACAGAAGCTCGAATTTTCTTAGCACGATCGAATGCCGAATCAATGCTGGTATTCTTAAGGAGAATAGTAAGCTCCTCTCCACCATATCGTGCAAAAATTTCTTCGGGGCGAATAAGAGCCTGGACAAATTTAGTCAATTCTATTAAAACATGATCCCCGACCTCATGGCCATTATTATCATTAATTCTTTTGAAATGATCTATATCAAGAAACATTAAACTCAAATTTTGCTTATTTTCTTTTGCATTTTTAAACCCTTCTTCCAAGCTTTTTAGTAAAAAATCCTTGTTGTAAATCGGCAAAAGTTTATCAATGCGGTTTTCATATTCTCCAGCGGGAAGATATTGAAAGACGCAACGTCCCATTTTAATCATGTCCCCTTTTTCTAAAGCACGGTTTGTACGGAATGTAAGTTTTTCACCATTTAAATAAACTCCTGACTTAGAGCCCAAATCGAAGATGTCAACTTTTCCTTGGAAATTTTTAATACTTGCATGTTGCTTAGAAATTTCTTGATCCCTTATAATAATATCATTTGAATCGTTTCTTCCTATAAATGTTTCTCCTAAGGGAAGGAACAAATGTTCCTTTTGAGGTGAACCTTCGATAATTGCTAGACAAGCATCGTTTTTAGAAATAAAACCACGATTTCTCCGAGAAAAAACTTCCGGAGTATAATCGTAATCTTGATACACATGATCAACATCAACGCTTTCGAGAGAACGAATGACCTCTTCAATTGATGGACGTTTTTTAGGATCATCGTCCCATGCGTTATGATAAAGATCAATGTAATCTAATGGAGTTAAATTCGCAGGAGTTTCTCTCCCTCCAAGAATAACTGCCTTTTTAAATT